AGCCATCGCACGTACATTCCAAGTGCCGATTAACTAACTGGCTCGCATGTCACTCAAGCGCACGTGTTTTGCCGGTCAAACTTATAGAATACCAAGTGAACATTTATTCAAACATCGCATTATTTCACGGTGCGTGACCCGAAACCTTTCCGGGTCACAATGCAATTTGCGAGTGAAAGAAGCTTGACGCATTCCCGGATCTTTAAGGAGCGCGAAAGCCGATACGTTCGCAACTCTCGTCTTGTGGTGGTCCATGCCACATGGCCGCCGTGCCCCTCTCCACGACCGCACGCGCGTGCGCGAGAGCACCGCGAGGGTCGTGGTGGGCTATCACCACAGACTTGCCGTGCTCGTGCGACGAGTAATCAAGCGCTTGTCGACGTCATAATCGCTCGCAGGCGAGCTCCTTCTCATCGCGTTTTCGTAGCACAAGTGTTCGGTAGAAATATGTGTGGCAAACGGCGAAGAAGGCATCACTTCTCGGCCTTTTGGCTAAGATCAAGTGTAGTACAACATCTTGGTGTCCCTGAGGGAATAGTGGACTTAATTAAGAACATTTATACTAATGCATCAACTGAAGTTAACACTCCATCTGGTACCACTCCTTCCATTCCCTTATTGGCCGGTGTTAAACAAGGGTGTCCTCTTTCCCCAATTTTATTTAACCTCTGCATCGAAGTCATCCTCCGTTCAGTCATAGCTAAGGGCCAGTCCAACGGTCCCGTTAAGCATCATGGTCAACTAATTAGTGTGCTGGCGTATGCTGATGATTTGGTTTTGATTGCCAAAGATGGATGGCTTCTGCAACAGTTGTTGGATGCGGCATCATCGTCGGCATCGTTAATTGGGCTCCAGTTTAGACCGGATAAATGTGCCTCTCTAAGTTTAACCTACTCGAAGAAATACAAAACGAATATTCAAAATAATGATTTCACCGTTCAAGGAAATGTGATGCCATCTTTAAGTGACCATGAACACTATAGATATTTAGGAGTGCCTATCGGTATGATTCGTGATGT